GAGCCTGGAGGCTGAACCCTGATCTCTCCCTGCAGACCCAGGACCAGATTGTGTACTTCATTCGCCAAACCCCGGTCCCCATCACCCCAGACAACTTTGCGGCAACCGTGCAGTTCGGGACAGTGCGTGGTGCCTACATCCCAGCCCTGCTTCGCCTGCTCACGGGTGTCTACGTCCCGCAGATTTTTGTGAACACCACTTGGCCTGAAAGCATCCGAAGTCATTTTGTGTCACATCTGCACAGGTTTCTGGCCTGTCTGACAGGTGAGCAGGAGGCTGGGGGGCGGGGGGTGGCGCCCGGCTCCTCCATGCTGGCTTGTGAGGCAGCTGGCCAGCTCACCTCATCCGTGTTAGCCCCCGGACCCCGTGGAGCTAAGGTCTCACACGTGCACACACTCTGCCACTGTTCCACACCATCAACTCTGTTATTAATATTCATATTCAAATCGATATCAAAAGGACTTCTTTTCAGCACCGAGTGCCAAACCCAGGGTTCAAGTGTACCTGCTAAGTGCTTCGTTGGTTTTGTTCTAGTTTTCTTGTTGTTTTGTTTTTCGAGACAGGATTTTTCTGTGTAGCCCTTGGCTGTCCTGGACTCACTTTTTAGATCAGGCTGGCCTCGAACTCACAGAGACACGCCTGCTTCTGCCTCCCCAGTGCTGGGATTACAGGCGTGCGCCCGGCTGTGCTGAGTGGCTGTTGTATCATTAAGTTATACTCCCAGGCTTAATGGACTCTTTGGAATGAGGTCTCACCGTGCACCCCGCCCACACGAGTGTGCTACGGAAGTCTTGACCACGTGGGCACACAGAGCACAAGCATGCCGCTTCTGTGTGACCTGGGCGGGAGCCTGGCTCAGAGCTTGTCTAGCGTGCGCAAAGCCTGCGCTGGAGCCCCAGCGTCCTGTAGCCGGGGCTGCTGCGGGTCTGTGATCTCAGCACTCAGGAGGTAGAGGGAGGAGGGTCAGACAGCTACTCAGTGCGTCTGAGCCTCGCTGAAGAGACGAGAGCTCTCTCTCAGCAGAGTGGGGGCCAGGCGTGGCCGCATGTGTCTGGAATTCTAGCTCTCAGGAAGCAGAGGTCCGAGGGTCAGAAATTCAAGGCGATCTTGGACTACACGGGACCCTTTCTCAAAACCAAACAAATCGGAGGCAGTGGGGTTTCAAATGTAAGGCCAGCATGGGGTATAGAGACCCTGTCGTAAGGAACAGAACAAGGAAGCTGGGCACAGTGGCGTGCGCCTTTAATCCCAGCACTCTAGAGGAGAGGCAGGTGGATCTCTGTGAGTTTGAGGCCAGTCTGGTCTGCAAATGGAGTCCAGGAAGGACAGCCAGGGCTACACAGAGAAACCCTGTCTTGAAAAACAAAAACAACCAAGCAAACAAAAGCATCAGAGCCGAGACGAGGCTGGAGAGGCGCTCAGTGGCGAAGAACGCTGCTGACCCTGCAGAGGACCCAGGCTGAGGACCCAGTGCCCGAGCGCACAGCACAGTGAGTCAGGGTTTCGGATGCCCTGCTCTACCTCCATGGGCACCAGGCACGTTCATGGTGCCCATACACGCCTGCAGGCCAAACGTCCACACCCAGAAAATAAGTCTAAAAAGTCTTAGAAACAAAACGAGCCATTTCTACCCAGGTCTGCTCTTGTGTTTGGGGGTGTCGTGTAAAATACGGTCTCCATTCCTTTCATGTGTCATACTGTAAAGCATTTCCTACAGATAAGACCTCGCCAGAGGGCCCAGTGTGTCAGTGCGGGCCTTTAATCCCAGCCCCCTGGAAGCCAGAGACATGCAGGTGTCTGTCTCCCTCTCAGTTTCAGTTAGGCTCAAACACAACAGAACAACAAAAAGCAAACACCAGCAAAGGGAAGGCCTTCCTGCTTACCCTTGAAGAGTAAAGACCAGTCCTAACGGGTGCCGGGAGCCAGGCGTCTGCCTGGCATGCCCCGGTCTCAGGGCTGACCCCGCTGTGCTTGGCACAGCCTTGGTCAATGCCGAACATGGTATCGTTGCAAAAATTTGCCTTTTAATTTAGATTCGCTTTTGTAATGTAGAACTTGTTTAGACCTGCTCAGACCCGGAGCTGGAGATTGCTGGAGATTGCTAAAGCGTGCAGGTGGCAGAAGGAGAAATGCAGGCAACAGGAGGGGGCGTTGGGGATACGGTGCAGACAGTGAGATGATTTTATGGTAATTTCCTAACAGACCTCCTGGAGCTTTGCCCCCTGGCTCCTGCTGTTTCTGCTCTGCAGCCTGAAGAAGCCTGAGTCATAGTTACTCCGTCTGTTCTCCCAGAGCTGCCTTTGGTGTCTGTGAGGGGCTGGTTCTCGGGCTCCCCTCAGAGCAAGCCCCTCAGGGGACGGCGCGGTTAGCGCACAGGTCGTCCACCTAACCTCGACACGCGCCCTAGACCCTCTCCACCCTCTGTAGCGCCTACCACGGCCTTTCGTTTAGGGGGTGAAGCAAAAGAACGCAACGAGACAGATGTGGTTTGTGAAGAGTCTGGGGGGCAGGTGGGACCACCCAGCGGGCGAAGGTTCTTGTCAGTAAGAGCGACAATCCCAGCTCCATCTTCAGCGGGTTGAAGCGGCCCCCTCGGGGGCCGCCCTGCCTCCCGCACCGGGCCGCGAGCCCCCCTGGCGGAGCCGCGGCTTTCTTTGAGCTGTGGCCGAGGAGCCTCGACGCTCCCCTTGACCCGACCACCAGTCACGGGCTCCCGGTCCTCCCTAGATACGCGGTATAAACTGGAGGGCCACACTGTCTTGTACATCCCGGCAGAGGCCATGGACATGAACCCTGAGGTGGTGGTAAAGGACAAAGAGCTGGTCCAGCGGCTGGAGAGTGAGTGGCCGGCGCCGGGCGGGGCGGGCACGGAGGGCACAACTGGGGAGAGGAAGGAAGCACGAGCCCCCCCCCCCCCCTCCACAGCCTCCATGATCCACTGGACCCGGCAGATCAAGGAGGTGCTGAGCACTCAGGAGTCTGTGGAGATGGGGGAGAACCTCGGGCCCCTGGAGGAGATCGAGTTCTGGCACAACCGCTGCACGGACCTGTCGGGCATCAGCAAGCAGCTGGTGAAGCAGGGCGTGAAGCACATCGAGGCCATCCTGCAGCTGGCCAAGTCGTCCTACCTGTCGCCCTTCGTGAAGCTGGCTCAGCAGATCCAGGTGCAGCCGCTGGGCGCCCCGGGCCCCTGGAGCAAGCGCGCTTGTGGGCTTGTGGGCTACCCAGCTTGTGGGCTGGCACGGGGCGGGTGAGAAGAGGGGGCCAGGCGCAGCGCACGGACCCACCCGGCGCCGGGTAAAGGTCCCCGAGGAGCTTGGCGCTTGGGTAGGAGTCGCCGAGTTAGTCAGCTGGGGGCCCGGGGCAGCCGAGAGCACGGGACTCACAGAGTGGCCCAGGGTGGCCTGCGGAGGCAGTCGGGACACACCCTCAGCCCGGAACACCAACTGCCCTGCCCAGCTGCCTGTGCCGGGCCCCCAGGAGGGAGGCACCGTGTGAAGGCCTCTTCCCAGGGGGAGCTTCAGCCAGACACTGAGGGAACTGAGCTGTGAAGAGGCTTGACCCTCGAGGAGAAGAGGACAGGAAGGCCCGGCGACCTTAGGGATGTGGGAGGGGAGCAGCGTGCCCAGGCCGTTAGCTCTGAGCAAGCGTTTGGTAGAGTCTTTAGCTCAGTCGGAGCAGACACCAGACCCGGGCTGATTCCCAGCCTGAGGCTGTCATAGTGGAGCCCCGAAGGGCGGGGCTGTTGCTCAGGTGGCAGGGTGCTGGCCCAGCCAGCGTGAACCCCGGGAGTTCCAGCACCTACGAGAGGTCGACCAGTGTCTATCTCCTCGGCGGCAGACAGACTGGGCGCGGTTTCCAGCTGTGACTTGCACTGTAGGGAGAGGCCAGCAGGTGCCAGCCTCTCCTCCCCCAGTGCTGCCATTAGCCACAGGCCTCCGTGCCCAGCTCTGACGTGGCCGCTGGGGATCTGAACTCGGGTCCTCACGCCTGCACAGCAGCAGGCGCTTTAGCGACTGAGCCGCGTCTCCAGCCCCCGGTCTGTTCTCCCATGTGGATAATGGCACTCCTGCTCCCCCTCACTGCCAGGACGGCTCCCGCCAAGCCCAGTCCAACCTGACGTTCCTGTCCATCCTGAGGGAGCCCTACCAGGAGCTGGCCTTCATGAAGCCCCTGGACATCGCCGACAAGCTCCCCAAGCTCATCAGCCTCATCCGCATCATCTGGGTCAACTCCCCGCACTACAACACTCGGGAAAGGCTGACCTCCCTGTTCCGGAAGGTGTGTGGTGCGAGGCGCAGGAGTGAGGCGGGGTGGGGTAGGATGAGGTGTGGTGAGGTGGGGCCGGGTGGCCCGGCGGGCAGGGCTCAGGGTCCCTGGCCACCGTGCCTCAGGCTGACAGTCTTTAGAGCCAGGCCTAGCAAGTAGCCCGAGCAGGACTCGGGGCTTTGAGAGGAGCCTTGGGAAGGAAGTGAGGAGAGACTTCAGAGAGGGTGGACCCGTCTTCCCCTTTCTCGAGATGGAGCCTGCAGCGGGGTGTGGGAGGGTTGATTGGGGGGGGATGGCCCCCGTCACCTGGAATGGTCAGCACAGAGCTTGTGCGGAGAGGGGTCGCTGAACCCGGAACAGGGCCACTGCAGAGCTGGCCGAGCAGAGGGCAGGCTGTGCCGGGCTCGCCGGGCATGCGCCTGGATGGAAATGGGCCTCAGGAGCTGGGAGTCCCTGGGGGTCAGGGAGGGGGTGTGGGGAGAGGCTGGGCTGAGGCCGAGGGTCCCTCCACAGATGAGCAACGAGATCATTCGCCTGTGCTGTCACTCCATCTCCCTGGACCGGATCTTCGAGGGCTACGTCATTTCCAGCAAGGAGGACCTGCAAGGCTGCATCTTCTGCTGCCAGGCTTGGAAGGAGCACTATCTGCGCGCCGTGCAGATCCACACGCAGTACGGGGCCCTGGCCGCCGCCCGGCCGCCTACTCCTGTGGCCTCCCCTCGGGTGGATCATGGTTTTAGACCTAGGCGCCTCTACCGCCCCTCCCCACCGGGTTCTGTTTGGATGGAGATGGCCTCAATCCTAGCCCCGAGGTCTCCCTATGGCCACTTCTAGAAAGCCCGAGCGGCCCTTCCCTTCCTGACGGCACAGCCTGGAAGGCCACCTTCCAGAGCGTGAGCCTGTCTCCCGGGGCCTGCCCTCCTCCAGGCCCTCCCTCTCCAAGTGCAGGCTCGCAGCGTCAGCCTTGCCTGGGCTCCTGCTCTCCACTCAGGCCCTCTTCTCCCTCCGTGCAGGTTCTCCAACCGGGGCTGGGTTCTGGACCAGACCAGCATATTCGCTCAGGTAGACGCCTTCGTGCAGCGCTGCAAAGACCTCATCGAGGTAGGAAGAGCGCCAGGGTGGGGACTGAGCCAGGCGGGGGCGAGGGCTCCGCTGAAGAGCCTCACCCTGGAGCCTGGCGCTTGGCTCTTCCTGAGAGATTGCGTGTCTTCCTCCCACCACGGCCTTTTACTTGCTTTTGCCTGTACTTCATTCTGCAGCCTAAATGCACCCCAGTGTCCCCTCCGTCTCGATTCTCCCCCCACCCCCCACCCCCCAGTTCATAGCCATTTGAAGGTAAATCCAAGAACCCAGGAGGCCTGGGTTCGGGAGAGAGCTGGGCCTTTCACAGCCCTCTCTTTTCAGGTATGCGACTGTCAGTACCACTTTGCCCGTTGGGAAAACGGCAACCAGGGGCCCCTTCCCTGCTTCTTCGGTGCCCAGGGGCCACAGATCACACGGAACTTGCTGGAGATCGAGGACATCTTTCACAAGAACCTGCAGACGCTTCGAGCCGTCCGCGGGGGCATCCTGGACGTGAAGAACACCTCTTGGCATGAGGACTACAATAGGTGAGGGCCTCACGGCTGAGGCTCGCGGCCGGCCCAGGCTGTGGGTGCCAGGAGCAGCAGGACAGCAAGCTGGAGGCGCGGTGGCGGAGTGCTGGGCGGGGTAGGCTCCGGAGTGGACCTTCAGGACACTGAACAGGTGCCCTGAAGCTCCTCACTGGGGGGTGCCTAGGACTTGTGAAGCAGCCTCAGGCGTGCAGCCCTGGCCACGCGGCGAGCTGCTGCACAGGACAGTCGGGCCGTAGCTGGCAGGCGAGCTTGGGCACCCACGCGTGTCTCTGCCTCTCGGACCTTGCAGGTTCCGTGTTGGGATCAAGGACCTGGAGGTGATGACCCAGAATCTGATCACCTCGGCCTTCGAGCTAGTGCGGGACGTGGAGCACGGAGTGCTGCTTTTGGACACGTTTCACAGGCTGGCTTCCCGGGAGGTGCGGCCCCACCCCGAGGGCACGCCCGCTTCCTTAGTCTTGGACTCCCGGACCCTGTCCTTCCTGCACGGTGCCCCTCTTCGTTCAGCTGCTGATTTTTCTTTTGTTCCGTGTTTCCGCTTCCCTGGCTCCCACCTCTGAGAGTGTTTCTGCCGCTGTGCATGGGAGTCAGGACACACTCCTGGGGTGCGAGGCCGAGGGAAGGCAGCTCCACGGAGCTCGCCGCCTTGTTCCCTAGGCCATCATGAGGACCTATGAGAAGAAGGCTGTGGACCTCTACATGCTGTTCAACAGTGAGCTGGCCCTGGTGAACCGCGAGCTCAACAAGAAGTGGCCCTACCTGGAGCCCTACATGGGCCAGTTCTCCGGGCAGGCGCACTGGATGCGGATCCTGCGGCGGCGCATCGACAGAGTCATGAACGTGAGCCTCAGCCGGGAGGGGCGGGGCCGAGTCCTGACAGGCCCCAGTTTGTGGAGGGGCCGGGTGGCCGGTGGAACAGAGATCGTGTTAGCTCTTATATGAAGGTGTGGAGGACTCAGGGTCGGGGAAGGGGCGTGCCTGGTGAGCCGGAGCCCTGGGCCAGCAAATCCTGCTCTCTGATTCCTTCCTCCTTCCTTCCCTCTTCCTTCCTTCCTTCCTTCCTTCCTTCCTTCCTTCCTTCCTTCCTTCCT